ACGATATCGAATTCAATTTATGCGATTGAGCCGAGCACTGTGCGAAAAACGGCCACAATACGAGCAGAGGCACGAAAAAGTGATTCTACTGTATGACAACGCTCGGCCTCATGTTGCCAAACCCGTTAAAACCTACTTGGAAACGCTCAAATGGGAAGTCCTACCCCACCCGCCATATTCCCCAGATATTGCGCCGTCCGATTATTACTTGTTCCGTTCGATGGCACATGGTCTGGCTGATCAGCAGTTCCGCTCATATGAAGATATCAAAAAATGGCTTGATTCGTGAATAGTCTCACAAGAAGACGAACGCTTTTACCGTAACGGTATTCGAGCTCTGCTAGAAAGATGGGAAAAAGTTGTAGCTAGGAATGGGCAATACTTTGAATGATTCATTTGTAACGACTTTTTCACAATAAAGTTGCATTTTTATAAAAAAAACAGCGAGAACTTAGTTGCGCACCTAATATATTTTAAAATTAGTATGTTTGAAATGTTAATTTGACAGATTTTGTACTGTTCTTATTTTGTTACATACGAAATTATAACATAAATCCAATATTATTATAGGTTAATGTTTACTACAGGTGAGATTACTAATATTATATTTCTTTTCATTAATTTAATATCAGTAAAAGTGTAACATCATTTATTTATATATTGATATATAAGGAAAATGATACGCGCTAATCATTAGAATAATAAGTACCTACCGACTTTTATCTTTTTATTTCTCTTGAGGACAAAGTATCACCTCACGTCGCTATGAAGCTAATCCGATTACTGCTGAGACAGCTTTTACTAAAATCTGATTAAGCTAGGGAATTTTTTGAAATGGGTCAATTGAGTACCACTGTTCAGTCGGATTTCCAATCCGACAACTTATCGTAAACACTCTGAATTAAACCCGTATCAAACTTTAGATTAAGATTGAGATTGAATTGAAAATTGGCCAATCAGAGCAAAGTTCACCAAACTTGAGCTTAGTGAATTTTGCTCTGATTGGCTAAATTTCAAATCAATCTCAATTCTAATCTATAGTCTGATACGGGCTTTAGAAGAAGTTGTCATAAACTACAAAAGTACTAAATTGTTGTGCCTATCATAATTTTTGACCCTGGTGGAACTAACTCTAATGGCTTCTGCACACAGGACGCGGTAATGCTTGCCGCGCGGCGGAAGTTCGCGTGACAGCCAATCAATATGCTGCTTTTCGTAATAACCTTCTAGCTCTTACGGAAAAACAACATATTGATTGGCTGTCGCGCGAACTTCCGCCGCGCGGTGTGCATTACCGCGTCCTGTCTGCAGGAGCCATAATTGTCCTAAACACCTATAGGCCTGAGCACAAAGATTGTCGCAATCGTTTTCGACAGTGTCGTAGATGTAATGGCTTCTGCACACAGGACGCGGTAGTGCTTGCCGCGCGACGGAAATTTGCGCGACAGCCAATCAATATGTTGTTTTTCCGTAAAAGCTAGAAGGTTATTACGGAAAGCAGCATATTGATTGGCTGTCACGCGAACTTCCGCCGCGCGGCAAGCATTACCGCGTCCTGTGTGCAGAAGCCATTAGAGTTAGTTCCACCAGGGTCAAAAATTATGATAGGCACAACAATTTA